GTCATTTGTGGACGAAAGTATGCTTTCGGGCGAGCCCCTGCCCGTGGAAAAGAGCAAAGGTGCCGAGGTCTTTGCCGGCACCCTGAACCAAAAGGGCAGCTTTAAATTTACCGCGAAAAAGGTGGGCGAAGAAACACTGCTCTCCCAAATTATAAAAATGGTACAGGATGCACAGGGCAGCAAAGCCCCGGTGCAAAAACAGGTGGATAAGATTGCCGGCATTTTTGTCCCGGTGGTAATGAGCATCGCCCTCCTAACCTTTATTGTCTGGATGGTAGCGGGCGGCACGGATGCCCTTACGCATGCGCTTTTAACTTCAGTTTCGGTTTTGGTTATTGCCTGTCCCTGTGCGCTGGGGCTGGCCACGCCCACGGCCATAATGGTGGGCATTGGCAAGGGAGCCGAAAACAATATTCTCATTAAAGATGCCGAGAGCCTGGAACGGGCGCATAAAACCAATGCCATCGTGCTCGACAAAACGGGTACTATTACCCAGGGAAAACCCACCGTTGCCCATTGGCTGTGGAAGGAGGAAAACAAGCATCATCAGGAGGTACTCCTCGCCCTGGAGGCGCATTCTGAACATCCTCTGGCCGAAGCTATCGTTGCCAGGCTTAAAGCCGATGGCGTAAAACCCGCAGCCATTCAAACGTTTAAAAGCCACACCGGCATGGGTGCAGAGGCCTTGTTGGCCAGTGGAGAAAGGTACTTCATAGGCAATAAACGGCTGCTGGAAGATAGAAATATCGCTTTGACAAATGCTCAGGTTGAGCAAGCCAGCCTTTGGGCCCATGAGGGTAAAACGGTGGTTTACTTTGGCAGCGAAAGGCAGGTACTGGCTTTATTGGCTATAGCCGATGAAATTAAGGACAGTTCTGCCGCAGCCATCAATACCCTCCAGCAGCGCGGTATTCAGGTTTATATGCTTACGGGCGATAACGAGCAAACCGCACGGGCCGTGGCCGAGCAAGTGGGCATCCCACATTTTAAGGCAGAGGCAATGCCCTCTGAAAAGGCCGATTTTGTAAAGGCTTTGCAGGCGCGCGGCAAAGTCGTGGCCATGGTTGGCGATGGTATTAATGATTCACAGGCCCTGGCTCAGGCCGATGTGAGTATTGCTATGGGCCAAGGTTCTGACATTGCCATGGACGTGGCCAAAATTACGCTCATCTCGTCCAACCTGCAGGCCATTCCCAAGGCTTTAAGGCTTTCCAGCAAAACGGTAAAGGGCATAAGGCAAAACTTGTTCTGGGCGTTTATCTACAATATTATTGGTATTCCCATTGCAGCCGGGGTGCTGTACGCCTACAACGGCTTTTTGCTCGACCCTATGATTGCCGCGGCTGCCATGGCCTTCAGCTCGGTATCGGTGGTAGCCAATAGTTTGCGGTTGAAAGCCGCCAAACTTTAAAGTTTCGATCGGTATGCATTTTTAACCTTTGTTACCCTTTCCAGTATGCCGTTAAATCAAGATCGGAAGAGCGTC